TTCAAATTTTAAAGGATAGGGTTAGGGTTATGATTAGGTTTAAGTTCAAATTGGAAAGAATAGGGTTAGGGTTAAAAATTCAAATTTGAAAGAATAGGGTTAGGGTTAAAAATTCAAATTTGTAAGAATAGGGTTAGGGTTAAAAATTCAAATATGTAAGAATAGGGTAAGGGTTAAATTCAAAGGATAGGGTTAGGGTTTACGAATTCAAATTTTTAAAGAATAGGGTTAGGGTTATGATTAGGTTTAAATTCAAATTGGAAAGAATAGGGTTAGGGGTTAGGGTTAAATTCAAAAATTAAAGGATAGGGTTAGGGTTATGGTTAGGGTTAAGTTCAAACTTGAAAGAATAGGGTTAGGGTTAAAAATTTAAATTTGTAAGAATAGGGTCAGGGTATCTTTAGGGTTAAGTTGAAATTTGAAAGAATAGGGTTAGGGTTTGGGGTCAGGGTTAAATTCAAGATTTAAAGGATGGGGTTAGGGTTAGGGTTAAATTCAAAGGATAGGGTTAGGGTTTACGAATTCAAATTTTAAAGGATGGGGTCAGGGTTATCTTTGGGGTTAAGTTCAAATTTGAAAGAATAGAGTGAGGGTTAAGTTCAAATTTGAAAGAATAGGGTTTGGGGTTAGTGTTAGGGTTAAATTCAAAATTCAAAGGTTAGGGTTAGGGTTTACGAATTCAAATTTTAAAGGATAGGGTTAGGATTATGGTTAGGGTTAAATTCAAAATTCAAAGGATGGGGTTAGGGTTATGGTTAGGGTTAAGTTCAAATTTGAAAGAATAGAGTTAGGGGTTAGGGTTAAGGTTATGATTAAATTCAAAGGATAGGGTTAGGGTTTACGAATTCAAAATTTAAAGGATGGGGTTAGGATTATGGTTAGGGTTAAGTTCAAATTTGAAAGAATACAGTTAGGGGTTAGGGTTATGGTTAAATTCAAAATTCAAAGGATAGGGTTAGGGTTTCGAGAGACAAAATTGAAAGCACAGGTTTCGTTTTAAGAAATTCAACATTTGAAGGATAGGGTTACGTTTGTGGAACTCAAGATGTAAACCATATGGTTAGGGTTAGGGTTCAGGTTATATTCAAAATTCAAAGGATAGGGTTACGGTTTACGAATTCAAAATTTAAAGGATAGGGTTAGGGTTATGGTTAGGGTTAAGTTCAAATTTGAAAGAATAGAGTTAGGGGTTAGGGTTAAGGTTATGGTTAAATTCAAAATTCAAAGGATAGGGTTAGGGTTTCGAGAAACAAAATTGAAAGCACAGGTTTCGTTTTAAGAAATTCAACATTTGAAGGATAGGGTTACGTTTGTGGAACTCAAGATTTAAACCATATGGTTAGGGTTAGGGTTCAGGTTATATTCAAAATTCAAAGGATAGGGTTAGGGTTTACGAATTCAAATTTTAAAGGATACGGTTAGGGTTTTGATTAGGTTTAAGTTCAAATTTGAAAGAATAGGGCTTGGGAATAGGGTTAGGGTTGAATTCAAAATTTAAAGGATAGGGTTAGGGTTTACGAATTCCAATTTTCAAAGGATGGGGTCAGGGTTATCTTTAGGGTTAAGTTCAAATTTGAAAGAATAGAGTTAGGGGTTAGGGTTAAGGTTATGGTTAAATTCAAAATTCAAAGGATAGGGTTAGGGTTTCGAGAAACAAAATTGAAAGCACAGGTTTCGTTTTAAGAAATTCAACATTTGAAGGATAGGGTTACGTTTGTGGAACTCAAGATTTAAACCATATGGTTAGGGTTAGGGTTCAGGTTATATTCAAAACTCAAAGGATAGGGTTAGGGTTCACATATTCAAATTTTAAAGGAGAAGGTTAGGGTTATTGTTAGGGTTAAGTTCAAATTTGAAAGAATAGAGTTAGGGGTTAGGGTTATGGTAAGGGTTAACTTCAAAATTCAAAGGATAGGGTTAGGGTTTACGAATTTAAGTTTTAAAGGATAGGGTTAGGGTAATGATTAGGTTTAAGTTCAAATTTGGCTTACAAGATGAACATTTTAATTCTAGGGTTGGGGTTTACTATCTCAAATAATAAAGAATAGGGCTGAGGATTTCTAAATTCAAAATTGAAAGGATAGGGTTAGGGTAAACAAACTCAAAATTTAAGTGATAGGCTAGGATTTACGAATTCAAAATTTAAAGCATTGGGTTAGGGTTTACGAATTCAAAATGTAAAGATAGGATTAGGGTTGACAGATTCTAAAATTTGAAGGATAGGGTTAGTGTTGACGAATTCAAAATCTAAAAAATAGGGTGAAAGTTTACAAGTTCAAAACGTAAATACAGGATTAGGGTTGACGGATTCCAAATTTACATGATATGGTTAGGGTTTACGAATTCGAATTTAAAGGATAGGGTAAGGCTTTATAATTTCAACATTTAAAAGAAAGGGTTAGGGTTTACAATTTGAAAATATAAAGGATACGATGCATGAATTTAAAATTTAGGGTTTACGAATTGGTAATCTAAAAGACAGGCTTAGGATTTCCAAGTTTAAAACCAATTTAAACGTTACAGCAGAGGGAATACCGAAGAGAGATACTTAAAGCCAAAAGTGCAAATGATTTAGAACATATTCGTTGAAATTTTATATGTAACATCGTCACTCATAAGGCGCATTCTACGCTAAAGCGTTCAAATGTGTCCTTTTTGTGTCGCTCGTGTTTTGTTTTAGAAGTATGGAGTATGTTTGATAATGCTTTATATGAATTTTCTTCGTGGCTGAGTTTTGTTTCAAAAACCCCTGTGGTAACTGAAGACGGTCTATAAATCAAGAGAAATCTTAGAAATGGCGGGTTTCCTGTGTCGCCAGCCAAAGTGCGTTTCATGAATATTCTATGCGTCTGTCATGTGTGCATACCAGTGATTAGCTTATTTCATTTTTATCCCATAGTATGCCCTAAATATAAGCAACAAATTGGAAAAGATTGGCACATTTATTTGTCCTTATTGCTTTCAGAGCACGTCGCCAATTTCACAACCAGATACGTTACCATTTTCTTTTCGAAACGACAGAAAGACTTAACATAGTGAACATGATTTCCGAGAACGATTGTATATTTTGTGCTGAAGTTCTGCCGAATATCACTCGAAGTTATGGTGAATAGCATTAGATAATTTTTAAAAGTAAAATATGGGACTTGCTGTAGATAAAGATTTTTAAAGAGGTAGGTAGATGTAATTTCACGAAAACTTGATAACATGGGACCATGCATTATGGTTGTTGTTTTACATGGAATATCTTACGATAATATGGTAACCTGTCTGATCAGCTTGGTAACGTATCTGTTCCAATATCAAAATGATGGTTTTGTTGTCAAACAGAATCAACGAAATCTCTTAATTCAGTCTGCCTGTAACAATATGTACCAATGAAATTCATATCTAATTAAATATCCCTAAATTCTTATTTAAAAATATGAATTTCTTGAAGTGGACTTTCGGTAACGTATCTGTTCGTTCCAAGCCGTTTTGGAAGGCTTAACTTCAATCAGTAGTTATTTTCTAAAAGATTGTTATCTAAAAATACTGAATGATACATTATTGTAACATCAACTGGATAACTGGATCAGGAAGGCCATTTCTGTGACAATAAAAACAAAGCTCTTGTTAATCACACCAACCTGAAGAGTAAAAGAAAGGATTCAGACGTAAGCCTGCATCACAAGAGTCCGCTGATGTTCAATGGATGATCTCGAATAATAAACCAAACGATTCAAAGAGAAAACGAACGTACCTATATAACCTAAATGCAAACGTAGGCCTACCTAGATACCCCCTCCCCAAAACAAACACAATGGCCAACTGACTCATTAGCTTCATATGAGCCAGTAGGCCTACTCTCAGGAGCCGCAGACACATCGCCGCCCGGATAAGCAATGGACATTTTGTAATACACAACTCATGGTGTTCTTTAGTTACTTTAGCTTTTATTCTTAAACTACCCATGCAGACGAAGTCTTCTCGACTGAGATATGTTCACTAACCCGTCCCACTTGTGTTGTTTATAAGCCACATGTTATTTTCTTTAAATTTCTCAGCTTTCGCGTCGTGTCCTTTGATGCCCATGTTGTACATTATGATCGGGTCTTTGTTTTCCTGCCGCCAGTCCGGATTGTAAAACACCAAGGCATGCGGGAAATACTTGACGGGAAGTTGTCTGACAACAACATGAACTGGTATATTGGCGTGCATCATACGGTTGAGCACCCCCTGGTCAGATATCTGGTTTTTCGGATCCACCAAGATCTGGATCCATTTCCTGACAAACTGGAGCGTCCTGTTTGTCGGCCAAAAATAGCCCAAACTAGGACAGTGCAAGGATTTTCGACGTAGTCTGGTTGGGTAAGGGGAGCGCTCATCCACAAAGGCCATATCAAATTTTCCCTGGAAATACGAGAACGGATCCCGAAACCAAAAGGTGTCCACGTCAGTGAAGAAAACTTCATAGCCCTTCTCCAGCAGGGACAGAATATACCTGTGACGTCTGTTCACGAGACGCATGTGTTCACGATTGAAAAGCACGAGCTTTCCGGGGTCCGCTTCCCCAAGGCCTTGGTCTGTTTTGACCACTTTTATAGCCGGGTCACCGTGGGCATGGCTCAGCATAGTCTGATACGCCTTCTCCTCCTCGGCAACGATGGTTGTGTTCACGCAGACTCCAGTCCTCTTGACGCTCTCCAACAAGTTCAGTGTCATGTCCATGTAGCCAGTGTTTGTGTTGACTAGCAGCATGACGCCAGGTCTCTTCCTAATGTCGGCCAAGGTGCAGCCGGAAATCTTCCCTCGGTTGTTATCAGCCGTCTTGGAAGACGGAAGAGCGGGAGTCATCCCAAGTTTTGGCTCATCAGTCATCTGGAGGTGTTCCTGTTTTGCCTCCTTATCTTTAATGTGGTGATCAGAGAGCATCTTGGGAACACTCCCATAGCAGTAATCTGGCAAAACCATTAATATCATTCAGTGATTAACGTGAAAGTCTTTTACGGGCGGAGTGGAGTATTTCTTGAGCTGATATACCACCGAGCGGCACGACAGATGGGCCCACATTGGGCCCTAGAGTGACTGTGTCCGGGCATTGTTTGGAACATCGTGGGTAATGTGTACCAAAGTTCGACGTGGCACTGAGTGTTTTCTGCCTTAACAGCACGCGCTCAACTGCCGTCTTTCTAAATACACATGCAGTTGGTAACTACGGAAACGTATTACCGTCACGAATATGAATTTTTTCCACGTACTAATTTTACGTACGCAGGCCTACGTGATTGTTTTCACGTATATATGTACCTGATACTTTCACGTCACGAACAAGTTCCACTAGCCATAGGCCTTTTTGACTCACTCACATCCGCATCGCGATTAGTGATCTGTCGCTGGTTCAATGACACCAGAACCCACCTAATGGATAGCGCGAACCAGCTCTTGGATCACTGATCCCAATCCGGATCTGCATGAAACAAACAGGCCCATAGTGGAACTTGCTCGTGACGTAAAAACTATCACGTACGTATGAAACGGTGACGTACATACATGAAATATGTGTGTGGCGGCAATACGTTTCCATAAGTAATAATGCAATTGAACATTAATTTCTATTTTGCCACACGCATACCAAAATTCTCCGACTGCGTCAGGCCCTTGTAGACTGCAGGAAAGTCACTCTTTATCTACACGAATACCACAGTAAAGAATACTTATTTATGGCCCTCCTCAAAAAAGTAAAATGGCCTGGGCTGTCCTGTCTTGTCTAGTTAGAAATTTACGTTTAGGTTTTCACAGTGTTGTTTATTTTGTTACTTTTGTAATTAAATCGAGTCATCAACATGAAGATAACCATCGGATGGATAGGCTTCTGATTTTGGCTTTGTGCGCAGGGATTGGATTAAACTTTCATCTAATCCGACGAATACCTTTTTATATGCCCCTCTGTAGGTACAGGTACACGTTACAGCTGTTGCTCGAAAAAATCATTTGCTGTGATTCTGAATATTATTGTCCGCATTAAACCACAAACTTGGTAAGAGTGTCCTTTCTCTTTTGATTGTTTCTCGGTCTAACGTTGCAGACAGCGTTGGCGTCGTGTAAAGTGTTTGTTTGAACAGAAAAAAATGGGGTTGGTCGGAAATGACAACCAATTAGAGACTTACATATTAAGAAAACAGTGCTGAAGGATTGCAAAATGACTGCAAGCGTTGTGCACAGTCGCGTCCAATCCATGATTCGTTTCTGAAAAGCATTATCCAAAGAAAGCGAGGTTTCAGAATATATTAAAATGCAGCACGGATCAATAAAAATAGTGTAATGCCAAAAGAAATGTTGGTTGTTTCCCAATATCAGTATGTTGGGTACCAACACAAGGGTACTTACTCTCGTACGAAAAAGGTGTTTGCCGAAAACAACACCAATAAGAACTGGATATCGAGAGATTAAAATCTCTGAAATCTTTAGGGCATTTTCCAATCAAAGTTTCTACTACAGTGCATTTTGCATTTAACCCCAGTGAGTATTCGTTCATCGTTTTGCCTATTATTCCCTTTTGTACAAATCGTTTTCCTAGTTGAGTGACACTTTAGTAATATCACACGTCTGGCAGAATAACACTGCCCATTATTTTGGTGGCATTAGTTTTGTCTTTTAGGCAAATTAGAATTGACTTTCAGTAACATTTGTTCAGGAAACTGAAAGTAAAATTTTTGAACAAATTCCCTGGATATATTTCATATTTTGACTTCTTTTGACATTCTGATTAAAAAGGTAACTATGAATGGGATATGTGCTTGGTCGGTCTTAATTCATAGTTTAAGACCGGCTGAGGAGAATGAACGCTGATTATGTCCTCGGCCTGCGGTTGGGGCATTAGTCGCGTCCATTCTCCCTGAGCCGCGGGACCCATGTTTAAGACCTGCCAAGCATATATGTTCACGTATTCCCTTTATGCATAAGGCTTCCCCGCACCTGATGGTTTACCACAAAGGGTTGTCATTCGTATAAACAAATCTTAACACGCCAATGATAGTGACAGGGTGCCATCGTACAGATCTTTAAGTTTTGCCCTATTGTAGGACAGGTGACATGCAGCTGTGTATTCCCTAAACAATACTGATGGTTCATTAAGTATTCCCATTGGGTTGTACGCAACTTAATTTTTCAAATTTTTATAACCCCTGACCCACGTTTCCCTCATCCTATCCCAATGAATCTTGTTATTTTATGTTTTGGACCACGACCTATCGATCCGTCATTTTGCGAAGTATTGTAGTTTTTTGCCTCTATCCAGAGCATGAAATTTATGGAAACATTAAAATGTCTTTCTAATGTCTCATGTCCCCTTTGGTCGAAAATGCTACAACGTGACTTACCAGTGTTACATTTTTTTCTGTACTCAATTGCAAAACGCCTACTGTAGTGCTCATTAGTAATTCGTTGACAGCGAACACTTGTGCAAGCAACAGTCTTTATTGGCCCAAGGGGAAAATTTCAGCGTTGCAGTATTCTTCAAATACAGTCAAAGTGAAAAATTAACAGTTTTCACTGGTTGTGCACTTCTGTGATTTTGGTTGTGATGTTTATTAAGATGGTTGATTGATTCTTCGATCAGTGTTATTAATATTCTCTGAAAATTCCTGCTTTGCCCAACTGATCATTCCAAACAGCAGTTATATACGAGCTGTTTTAAGCTCTTCACGAGAGATACTGATATAATCTTATGTTCTTTAAGTGAGATACTATAATAAATATACCATTGCTAACTAATAATGCAGTGTCTGAATAGCACTTTACACTCTGAGCTGTCAGGGCGTTTTATATTACCTGCTCACTCGGATGCAAGTCCAGTTTATATGCTAGGAATTAAAATCAGGAGAAGAAATAAACTAACGTTTGTTTGGGTTCAGGATGGGCATTTTGCTGTTAGATTCGACTACAACAACGGTGCTGTATCTAAAAGTCACAATACATGTAGATCATTCAATAATTTCTAAATTGCAGTCGAATGCTACTTGGAAATACAACAGGCCTACAACACTGCGCTTGTACCTATTACGGTAATGATTTACAGTGCACTCTTACGGTCTGGTCTTATCGCTATCTGTCTGATTTGTGTCCAAAGGTGTTGTGTGCCTTTATTACCGAGTCTTCAAGCCAATATGCTGGTTAGCGAAGCCAAAAGCACTCTATGAACACCTCTTTCGTCGCAGCAACTGAACTTGTATCCAGCCAGACCTCATACTCGATACGACTGTGCAACAGCTTGTAAACTTGTACCTCTGCAACCTTGTCTCCAGAGGTCGCTTTATTTTCAAACTATACTCTTCCAACACACGAAGAACCCCTCTGAATGTCCAGTTTGACGCCCTGATTCGATGTACAGGCACACAGGATGCATCAACAACTGCTGTTTGTTTACTCCTCATGAACAATCCATCATTTTCAGTTCTGTCGATTTAAATATCAAATCTGATACTGTCAATTGCTTGGATAAGATTTTAACGTTTTCAAAATTGTGGTGTTTTTTCCCGCAACGCCACGCAGAAGCACTAGTTTTTACCAGTGCGGGCTATTCATAATAGCGCGCCTCCGAGAGTTTGTAACTCGTTGGCCAATCACCAAGGCCAAGATCTGTCGACCCAACGTGCCTTTGGTGGAAATGTTTCGCGCATTGTAATTGGCTATTATGAATCGCCCATATTGACATAATAACAATTTGTCCTGAATATCCAAAACATCATTGTTCTGGTTCACTCCTCATGGAACTCGTGTAACCCATACCCTTGGCTGCATTTCATCCTTGACAAAATAATCTTCCCATAGATCATGCAGATGCTTTGCATTTGATGCATGAACCTATGGGGAAAGTTAATCAGCCAAAAGTTAATGTTTTTAATCGCAATCTCAAGTACCTGCTCATTGGGTCACTACGGAGCTCCTAAGTGTGTGAAATGTTTGTTTTTCATCCAAATGGGAGACTTTTGAGACGCTGGTGGAAGCAGACCTTTTTCAAGGTATTGCTCGTGCTCAGAACTATCGCGCATACTCAAAACAACGCATGAATGCTCAGAACTGGTAAAAAGGACTGGTATGCTTGTCACCACCAAGCGTCTCAAAGTCTCCCATTGTACGATGCGATGCGCATGTCGCTCATACTTGAGTGAGACTTTGTGGTTCCCCTTTACCCCCCCCCAACAGTATGCCGACACAATGGTGCTCTATAGACGACAAAATTGCGTTGCGTCGTGCCGTCCCTCAACAGCTAGACGCGACGTTATACGACGAGTCCGTTGCGTTGTTCCGTCGCTTAGTGTCGTCCCGTCTTTTCTTATGACTTTTATGCTGTGTTTAATGCGTGGATTCGTACCGTCGTGTCGTTGCAGCATGCCGTCGCACCGTGCCGTGTTGTTTGCTCTTGATACTGTCATATCGTGCCGTCTTGATACCACGTCTTGTCGTCACAGCGTTGCGTCGTGTGTCATTGTAAGGGTTTTATACAGTGTGGGTGAGGCTGTCACGTCCTGCCGTCGTGCTGTCGCGTCCTAATGTCGTGCCGTCGTATCAGGGCGGCAGTACGGCGCGACGCTTTTTCTCGTCTGTAGTACACTATACAAACACCCCTAATAACCTTCAGCGCCGGACATCCATCGTATCGCAGATTCTTCGCCGGTACAACACAGCCATAGTGGCCCTGTGCGAAAGACGCCTACCTGACCATACTTGACTGAGTCTGAGTCTAGCTACACTTTCTTCTGCAGTGGATGACCGGAAAATGAGCCCCGGCAAGCCCGTGCGGGCTTTGAATCAGGACCCGCTACCTTAAGCTTAATTCTTGATTCCGTCCCGCATGAAGTGAATTAAAAGAACGGTTGACTGTACTGCGTTCCCCCATCTGGTCAGTGGCTACGTCACTATTACCGTTACTGTATAGAAGAGGAAGGGGGACAAGTTCAGCTGAGGGAACTATGTCGTAGCATCTCTCTAATGGCCGTTGCTGGGAAGATTTTAGCTCAGTCACGCTGTCCCGTCTCTCTTCTCCCGTCTCCAGAGTTGCCGTTCCTGAACCACAGTGCGGCTTCCGTAGGGACAGGTGCACCACAGAAATTATCTTTGTGGATTGTTAGTCACAAGTGAAGTGCAGGGAGCAGCACTGTGACTTCTACTTTACCTTCGTTGACCTCACCAAGGCATTTGACACAGTCGAATGGAGCCTTCTTTGGACTATCCTCGCCAAGTGCGGGCTGTCCCCCAAGGTTCATCGAGGTCTTTCAGGAGTTCCACACAGGGATGTTCGTCCGTCGTGGTTGGGGGTCTGATGGTGTTCAAGCCCTCCTAAGTCAAAGTTGGTGTAAAACAGGGCTGTGTCATCGCACCGGTCCTTTTCAACATCAACCTGGACCAGGCAGGTGTGTCTCATCTAATTTCCTGACATCGGCTCCATTTATAGGACACTGTATGTATTACATTTCGATGTCGGCTTTGCGACAGCCTGTTCTACCTGCGCGATGTATGCTTGCCAAGACATTAGGTACAAGACTGTTTAGGACCTCCAACGTGCTGATGGTGCTGCTTTTGTCAGCCATTCAGCAGCGGGCCTCCAAAGGATCCTCGATACCCCGGCTAACACCTACACCAGCACCAGGCTCGTCATCAGTGGAGAGAATTACGACACCAGTGTGTAGCCTCTGGAGACCAATCTCTTGGTACATCCTTTCATGAGGGGTCTGAAGACGTTAGCCAAGTCCACAACTTCCTCTACCTCGGTAGCCTTTCCAACATAGGATACGGCAAGCCTGTATCGCCTTTAGGTTATCCCGTGGTGCCAAGTGTTTTCAACCGAGACATTACCATCTCTACCAAGATTTCATAAGGCTGTCTGTATCTCCGCCCTGCTGTACAGCTGTGAGGCCTGGACAATCTATATAGCCCATATCATAAATATGGAGGCTATCCACATCCATTGTTTTGTTAATAATTAAAAGAGGGTATGATGCGCATGATGCTTAGGGAACTGTTGATGGTTGAGACTTCTAAGATGTTCTTCAAGACTGGGGCAATCAATATTTAATTCAACCAAGTTTTTCCAAGCGTGTAAATTGCATCCTAAAAAAGAAATTTACCCCTTCTTGGTGTGAGGGATCAGTACTTTCTGCAACACCATAACCGTATCTATTTTGGAGCCGCCTATACTGTGCAGCACCACACCGGTGCGCTATCTGTTTAATGTTTTGGGGATTCCCCAGTGTGAGGAATCTCGACAACTAATGTGCATGTGACCTGGCTGATACAGTGATCGTCATGCTCTGATCTCGATATACTTCCAAGGTACACAAACATGGTAATTTAGGATTTACGGCTGTTATGTTGTGATCGAGTTCAATCTCTGTGGTCCATACCGGCAATTTCCAAGCAGTACTCCCACTCCTCCAGACGATTTGCACGGGTTTTGGAAGTTATCAGCCAGCCTGCACTATATTATTACCCTCAGAATATTTCGTGTTCAGTCTTCCTTCAGTGCAGTCTTCCTCGTTAACTTCATTGGCACCACACTTTAAATGATATTAGTCCGTGAACTGAAGATATCAAGAGCGTATTCGAAACCCCATTCTCGTGGGAATCGCAAACAGTGTTCTTGGGTCATTGATTACGAATGCCGAAGTGCAAAAGGAGTGCAGTTGCGCTGAGGGTCAAGATAGCAGTCGCCATTTTGACACCAAATGAAAAGATGGCATGATATTTACCATCAAATCAAATCCCTCACCATCCATATTAAATGGTCAGGGTAAATTCTCCCCGATAGCCATGAGTACATGCCCTGGGTTTTATTTTCCTTTGTGGGTGTTTTCTATTTTATATAACAAATCCAACATTAAGTTACAATATGTGCCCATATCCTCCATCTTTGTTCTTGGTGTTCTCAGCCTACTCCCCAGAAAGTGGGAAGTGAGAATCTAGTTCGCGAACGATCCGCGTGTTGATTCTCCCCGTTCGAAACCCCGTTCTCGTGTTCGTCTAACACGACAACGGGGTTTCGAATACACCCCACGGTGACGGTGTCTTTTCTTCAACTCTGTTTGGCCATGTACAAAATTTTTCATCAGAAAGCAAGCACGTAATAATAATTGATGTAATGAATCTTAGAGTGGATTTACAAAGGAATATATTAGAAAGATCAGAATTATATAGAGAAGGAAAAGCTAAAACATTATTTGGTTGACGTTTTTTTGGCATTGTTTGGTAACATACGACGCGAAACACGACGGTGCGACGCGACGGCGACGGAAGGAGTGAGGTTTAGAAAAAAAAGCAACAAGGAAAGGACGTAAGACAGCAAAACGCAACGAGCGACAGCAGAACGCGACGTACGCCGAGACACGTCGTGCGTGTACAAACATCAGGGCAAGAAGCCGTCGTGTCGTCGCGTTGTGTAGTTACGTCGCCCAGGCAAAGGCAGAAATGTGTGTTGTAAATAGTACACCGTAACATAGTACGTTAAATTATTGTACGTGTACATTGGACCTGACATTTATTGAACACATGCAGACATAGGTCATGCACGTACACAATGCGAAAGGTATGGATTTTGTGTTGTGACATTTTACCTCATGCATCATGTATGGCTTGTTGTGCTCAACTCCATGGGGTCATAGCGAGGGATCGGAAGTTGAGCGCCATGTTTTCCTCTTCGTCATGAACATTGCGATGACGTGGCACACTGTTTGCGTGGTGAGAGATCAAAATCCAAACTAGGCGTCATTTCACGTAGCCATATTAGACACTGATCACTTAAAGTTTCTCCTGGCAGCTTATCACGAACTCAAAGCTAGACGATCATGGCATCGACGACTGTGAACCTTAGACCTCCGCCGTGACACTGAACTATCAAGTGCTCTGACTTGGGTCAGTGCAAACAGAAGTTGGCTGTGGCCGTTGGTTTCTGGCTTTGGACCTGATTTATCCATTATTTTTTGGAAAGAACACGTAAATTCAATTCAGGTAAGAAACTATAAACGGGATACTGCATCAGATGGACATGTACTTTACTATCAAGCATGTGCAGGCTTGGCCTAGTGTGGAGATCCGCACTAAAGAAATCCACGTAATGTAGGGTACGACGGCGCTGTGCGTGTTAACAGTGTTTCACAATTGACATCAATTTGTGGCTGGCTGAATGCGTCACCCAAATTAATGCTTCTGTTATTTTATAGAAACCCTGTAATATTATTTCTATATCCTGATTACATGATGCACAGCTCTACTTTTATGTACATGTTACGTTGAGTTTCCACATTCTTTGTAATTGTAAACAAGAAAAAAATGGGATTTTGTTAAGTTCATCAAATTCGTAATTTGATGCAATTTAAGGCTGAAAAGGAGCAGGCCTATATCGATAGTATTGTTCAGTATAATAATTATATATCGCACTTTTCTACACTTTCTTGGAGAAAGTTCCACTTTATTCTAAAGTTATGTTAGCTTGTTTGGCCAATTTTAATTGGCCAGTATTTCTCCAGAATATTGTTGATGGCCTTGATTGCAAACTCTTTTGACAAGGAGTACCTTGTCTGGCGATATCAAATTAGCGTCCCCCGTGCCAACGTTGAAGACAACATTTTCTAAGAATTGAAAAAAAAATAGTTTGCTGGACTTTGAGAAGACACGATATTCGTACATGCAAAAGCAGTACCTAATTTGCATAAACTCATAATAATGAGCTGAGCGGATACCAATCCTTACGTCTTTAATGGGCAGAATTTGCAGGAAGACATGAGCCAATCAGAGTAGAGCGCAGTTTTGGAGCGGGATCAAGCATGCAGATGCGAGTGTCCTTTTTCGCTAAAGAGTTCAGGCTTGGGCGTGCTAATTGTGTGGCACCCGAATAACAATTATAAAGCTACACGGTGTATACGGAGAGTGTAACCGCCCTAAAATGTGCGCAGAAATGGAAGAAAACTTCGGTCTAGTTCGTACACATTGTACAAAGCTATATGCGATACAACCTGAACAGGTAGAGTACCTTTTATTTCTAGGTTTTACCCACTTTTGCATAGCAAGTGTAAAGTGCCCTGTCCAATCCCAAACCAAGACATGAACGACTCAAAGATTGTGTGTGGTGTGTTGATACAAACTGTTTCACTCCTATAGACCTCTTTCCAGTGATGTCAAGATCGTGTTGGACCTATGTTGTGTTGTGATGGTAATGAGTATAGTGTTGCAATGGTAATCTACCTATTCAAGATAAACTAGTCAATCATGCAGGGCTCGCACGTGCGTTTGCAGTTGGTTGAAGCTGCCCGTAGGAATATATGCGACCAACGAGGCCAACGCCGTCCACAAGTGGTGGTATTGTTTATAATTTCTTCACGTGGGTGAAAAAGGTCTATACTGAGACATACTGACGTGCAGCCCATTAAGAGCTGGTTTTGGAGTGGTGATTTGTGTTTGGACGGTCCAATGGCCAAATGGTCCAAACGTCGTTGCAAAGTTTAACAGAGTTAATTTATACAGTATCTCCAGCAAAATGGCAATTCCATTGAATCATAAAGAAACTGCCAAACTTTGTTTACTCTGTCAAAAAATAACATAATGTGACTGCGTGCTGACGTTTGTCACTATGCATGAAGAAATGTTTTATTCAATAAAATTGATCTCTGGATTGATGGGAATCCTGTGTCTACATAATTTTAATGTGTTTTAGAAGGGGGTGCGATCGAGTATCCTCTATATACCTCTTTGCGGTTTGTGTTGTTAAGTCGATCATTCCTTAAAATTTCTCAACTGTACGCCCGGGAACAAGAAAAATTTGGTTTTGTGTGATGTGCATATCTAGAGCCTTAAATACTTTTAAACAATAAAATAAGAGGGGCCAGTCATTTTTTAAAATTTTGGCAGCAGCACACACGCACCGTCGCGATGCACATCGTTAGTCAACGTCACGCCTGGTTTCCCTGGAGACTTCAAAAAAAGCAGAGAGCATGGCTGATCAGTCCCAGCGATATGCTGTGATGTGGAGATATTAAAAAGGTTTATCGTGACTTAGGCAGCCATAGCCGCAGATAGACGGGAAACTTGGAGCCGGGCTCAACTTTGCCGACTGTCGGTGGATCGCCAGAGAAGGCCTACGTACAATCACGCACGCTGGCATGACGGGCATACAACCATGTCCCTTTCACTAATATTGCCCATCCTCACTAACATATGAATCCTCAATTGTCAACAGAAAAACTGACCATATATCAAACTAGATAGAGTATCAATTTCGCTTCAGGGCGATACTTCCTTCCAAAAGGTTTTTTTCAAAACATTTTTTTTTTCATTTTTAGCAGAAAAGACTTTACATAGCGTATCTTAAGCGACTGTCTGCACCTTGATGTCTTACGTTTCGTTGACGTTTTTAAATCATTTGGAAAATCTTAAAAAGAGACGCCGGAAAATAATGCAGCAAGCGAAGTAGGTCGTATCCTCCTGAGATAACAGAATTGCTCGCGAGGAACATTACATGTAGGTCCCAGGCCACGGCCATAATGAACATAAAATACACACATGTTCACCCCATTGTGTCACTGATGTGTACAATATGTGGATCAAACATTCCCCTAATAAGCCTTTTATGAGTTTGAATTTGAACAAAATCTGGTACACCGTGTTATCTTATTGCACACAAACATAACAGTTTGAATTCGCCAGACTTAAGACACTGTTGCTATGCCTCGTGATTCCGGGCAAGCTTTTGCATAGAGGACACCCTCTCTGGGATGGACTGGTTCCCTTGTGCCCTTCTTATCCATTGAAAATAGTTGTTTGTGTGAGGCTTCTCTTATGTAACCATGGAGGAAGGACACAGAAGTTTGCCCCGAATCATGAGATACAAGAACAGTGTTTTTAGAATGACGAATTCAAATTGTCATGTTCACGTGAATTTAAAGAAGTCGGTTAACCATATTTTATTCAAATATAACTCACAAGAGGCTACGGTAATTCCCCAATCTTCCAGTCTCCTCCTCCGCCACTGATGCAAAACCGACCCTCACGTTTGATCAACAGCTGACAAACTCGGGGCATACATGATTGTGTGCGACGGGAAAAATTAACACACCGAAACCAGATGCAAAACCAGACTTTAACGACGTTCAATTAACAGCTTTCAAACCCGCAGCGAGCAAAAAGGAGCTCAAAAACCTGCGTCGCCGCACTACATTTTGAGCTCACCCCTGACCAGTAACCAGGGAGTTTTTGGCCGAATCTAGAAAAGTGTAGTAGATATGGAGAAACTACTGTTCTGCTTTGCAAGACCTCACAGTTTGGATCTTAAATGTGGAGGTTTCTCTAAGCAAACAAGCCAAAATGTTAATGTTTTTCAATTTTACTGCTTCAAAAGGAGATGGAAAGTCACAGATTTTTTTTTCATGTATGCAAGTCACAAAACCGCATTACCGATATATGTTTTCTTATAACAGGTATGTCTGGTGACCATTCAAAACGTGCGGGAGACTCGCAGGTTCGCCTTTTTGTCTGGACAGGCCTTCGATCTTTGTCCACCATACTAACGAAATGTCTGAGCTTTGTGGAAGACAGTCTGATTTTCTTTGAGCCGTACTTTTGCGCTTATCTGCATGGGCCCCAGAGGTTCGTGCCAGAGGTTCCAGATGCTGACGAGGAAGCTCGGATTGCGAACTACGAAAGAAACGCCGCTGCGGTGACTTCAGTTGAGGGGGGATTTGAAGCATCCGAGTGCACATACCAATGGGTGAAGGAGCGACTCGAAGAAGACCATGGCGAAAAACGGTTCGTCTTCTGTAAAGACTTCGCCTCAGCAGTTATCACTGGAGACAAGCTGAAGTTCCTCCCACGTGGCTATCAACACGTGTTTCTCATCCGCCATCCCCTAAAAGTCTTCCCGTCTATGAAGAGTATGCTCCGTGTAACCATGAAGGCGTCCGACGATTTCAGTTTGGAGGAGCTAAAGCGGTATCCGACGGACGGCATGTATCGGGACATGTCTGATCTATTCGACCACATACGGAAAGAGTACAAACAAGAAGCAATTATCATCGACGCCGATGACCTTCAGCAAGATCCTAGGGGCGTCCTATCAGCGCTCTTCACCGCCATTGGGATGCCCTTCCAAGAGCAGCTCCTCAGCTGGGAGGCAGGGGATGCCGTGTCCCGCTCATGGATAATCTCCCAGACGCAATTGAGAGGAAATAAGTTTGGGCATTATTACAAGAACGCCTTCGCAAGCACGTGCTTCCTGAGACCCAGTGCACTACCGGATCGTGAGTCGCTCTCAGCGGATATTCTCCGCTGCGTCGATGCCTCCATGCCCTATTACGAGAAGATGTACGCCCAGCGTTTGAAACCTGTCTAAAATTTGGAATACACATTGCGGTCTATATGTACAAATAGTTGCGAAGAGGATATTTGCTATACAAAATGGCTCAAGAATGGTAGTCCCTATTACTGTAAGTGTGCTTTACTTCAATTGAGCTAAAAAAACAAAAAGTTCATCCCAGCCCCTTTTCTAGCCCAGAGTAGTGATTCCTTAAGAACGTTTTTGATTATCCTTATTTACAACGTAACTTCTGACAAGTACATGTGAGAGGAGCAAATAATATAATATGTACTTTAATTTCGAAAGTTGTCTTGTGTTCAAAGTTTTGTTCTTTTCAGATGAAAACTACTCTAATTAACTCTGTTGAATATTATCTTCACAATATACGGCATAATTTTCAAAGGAAGGATCTTCAAGTCTTTTTGCTTGTTAAAATAAAACTTCAATAATCAGATGAGCTCAAACAAGGGTACAGTTTTCGATATTCGATATCCAACAACTCTGTGAACAAAAAAAAAGGCAATATTAAAGGTTTGCTTTTCAATCTTAAGTAAATAATAAGCTTGATCTCTTGCATTATTCATATTGGTTCATAATGATGACCTTTATACACACAACTTTCTAGTGTAAATGGTCAGGTATATCCAATGGCAAATTGTTTGAAATACTACAAATTACATTCTGCGTTTGATACGTTTAATACATCTTTTATGGCAGATTTCATCTCATTTAAAAGTTTCTGCGACTTTAGTATAATATTAGTTGTAGTTGCTAGTTCGTAGAGTAATGGGCTGGAAACAATGTGTCCAAATCTCGCCTATTTTGCCATTACAAACGAAAAGACAAAAATAAACAAAAAAAATCTTGGCGAATTATTCGCTCTTTTTTTTAAGAGAGACAGGAAAAATGCCTATACTTGCTATGTAATTGAGTTTGAATAATGTAATGTGGATAAATGTGATATAATATATCATGAATTGTATTATGCTTGATGAAACATTTGATGTAAAGCTCATATCACGGTTCCTGTTAAAAGTAAACAGCTGCCTATCTTATGATAGCATCTTAGCTGGTGCCTCTCTATAGTACAGCGAGTTGATTCAGTACCAAAGGTAAATGGTTTGTAAAGTTAAAATTGTTCACATTTGAGTTGATGCGAATTATGATTAAAAAATCACACACACTATATGCATGAAAAAATTACATGTATGTTGAGAGACATGTTGTGCATGAGGTAAACCTTTCTATTTTTTAATCTCATGCTGTGATCTAGCTGTTTGCAGTAAAGAAGTATCATTAAGCTGACATCTGGCCATTTTCAAATTTGTATTCTAAAATATCCAATCACCCCTTGAAGTTGGACCCTTTTATTTGGCCAAAATTCCCACTTAATTACGCTGTAGGGGGGAAATATTCCGAATTCAGGGACATTCGAATTAAGCCCATCCGTACAAATGGCTGTATCCATGGAGTTTTCCTCACACCAGGCTGCTTTCCTGAGGTTGCACGGCTGAAGTTAGTCTTGGTCCAAGACGTCAGAGATCGATAGTTGTTTTATTTCTGTTGAAGAGCGCCCTCGCACTATTAGTTTTTACTTACTCTCAATGGCGCAGAGTCTAATTGTGAGTCGTTGGGGGGCACTATGCACGGTGTCCGCTATCAAGCACTAACGTCTTGAAACCAAGACTAGGCTGAAGTTTGCTCGTGCTGAGCAGTATGTTTGTACTTATAGAGATGACGTACCAACATAAAATATAAATGGCTATTAGCGCTCACCATAGCTCCATTCTTGAAGGGGCCAACGTAAGAGCTCTGCTCGGCGTGGTCAGCTATATCCGCGAACACATGTCCAAGCACTGGGAGCGGTCAAAAGAGGCGACTCCACCGTTTACTTTGGTGCCAGTTGCCCGGTACACTATGGGAGCACGTGAGAAAAAGTCTCTTTTCGAGAATAGTCAGTGAAATATTGTCGCTGCGCGGTTGTCTCCGAGAGGTGCTCGGAGTAGGCTGGATAAAAGTCCGAGAAAAATGAGGGCAGTTCAGCGATACACGCGAAGAAAACACACATGCCGGGAGGCCAATTAGCATAAAGTTCGTTTGTTGGAGTGAACGTTAATGGCCAAAGGTCACTACAAGTATGTTACAGTCATTTGCCTCTCGCATCCACGCTGGACGCAAACAATGATGTAAGAAGCCTACACAGAACCCCATGATATACTGCATACACAAGCTGCATGTCACCGCAAACGAGATGGTGACGGTACTTGGATGCAGTGCCCCAGTCAGATAAAGACCTGTGGTCTACGATAGCATTTGATAGGATGGTTGAGATGCCTTCGAATGGACTCCTGTTACAAAATACCACATGCATTGAGCATGACTTAGTCATCACCATGCACTGTACCCTTTTTCTTGTGAAAGGTTGTCACAAAGGATTGTGGTGACATCCATCACGCTCACGCCATTGGCAAATCACATGTTATAACAAGAAATAGAGACCACTGAGGAGTGTGTGATGGATAGACGTGCAGTCACCAGGCGTAGTGATAGCTGCCGTGATGAACATCGGTTGGTCGGAACTGTGAAGAAGAATGGAATTTTGAGTATTACGTTCCGACAGCAACTCTGTCTCAAAATCAACATCAAAGCCCTCAATCAGTCGGTGGTCAACTTTGATTTTCAGGCTTCACTTCATACCAAACACCCTGCTACAGATTGATGATGTCTGTTTCGCTCTCTGGAAGACTCTCTAGGTTGTTCCAAGACGATTGGACAAAACACGGAAAAAACATTAATTGGTTCAAGCAGAACTACTCATAGGGCCTACTCGTTGTAGTCGATATCAACCTGCCTTCATCCGCTGTCAACAACATTAAGGACACATTCCTGCAGAAAGAAACTCCTAAACGTGGGCTAAAACCGAACAACATGTACATGTGTATGTACCTACAAGCACAGTAGGAGACCTCATGGATCATGTGGCAGAAGGCAATGTAAATGAAAGGTTTCAAAGACAGGAGTCGTGCCTTCAAGGCTTCCAAATTGATTTAGAGTTCTTGCACTTGCGGACCGATTTGATTTCGGCTGACCGGGTTTTTGGCTGCCTCCAGATCGACAATAAGCGAGTCTGGGAGTATAAGCTAGCCTACGTGCTTCAGATCTGGGAAGTGTGCTTCTATCACAGTTTTGGACGGCAGATACATACACACAAGCGGGAACTGACTTACGCAAAACCTATTACTCTGCACTGTACTACGTAACGGCGCGGGATAGGCGAATGGGTGCGATGGTTTCCTCTCCATCAACGAGCTTGGTGCGCCAAGTGCATGTCTGCTGAAAGGTCAGAATCTGAAGGTTAAGTGGGCGTATTCTTGCATAGTTATAAATTTATTAGTGAAAAGTTCTCATGGCAGCTTATTATGAGCTTAAACCTCATGACCACGTACGGCATTGATGACCGTGGACCATGGACCTCCGACCCTACACTGAAGTAAAGATATCGCGTCAGGTGTTCTAACTCAGGTCACAGTGCAGAAATGCTACGAAGAGAAGTTTCCTGCGGACGTTGGAATTCTGGCCTTGGGTCTGATTTCGCCATTATTATTGGAAGAAATCCGTGGATTCGCTTGAGAAGTTGAGGTATGAAATTGTAAGCAGGATATCTCCGCGTAATGTGAGCCGCACATGTGCTTTTCCCCTTGAGTATGTGTTGTGTTTTGGCGATTTACACAGCTTTGCGGGCCGTTGAACATGTCCACTAATTTGATGCTTTTTTTGAGGAACCATATAATAGCCTGCCAGTAGATTTTCCCAACTTCATTATAAAGAAAAACACTATGTTTATTTGCATGTTACGATGACTTGACACCCACCTCCTTTTCAGCAGTAAAAGGGAAAAATTTCAATATTATTGATTCCAACTTAGTGAGCCGCATAACGTCACGGCAGAAATCGAGCGTCTCCATAGCTTCGTGTACAATATAATTTTTTCATGTCTTATACTTTTCTACATTTTCTTGGAGTAGGTTCACTTTATACTTGTTTTTAACACAAGCTTGTTTGAACAATAGTACACACTAATATATCTTCAAAACATTGCTGGTGGTGAATTTGCAAGGACTCTTTTTTTTCACAATAGCTCTTCTGGCGAGGAATGCTTTGTGTGGGAACTAGATCTGTTTATAGGGAGAGTTGCGACATGAGTGTCTCTATTGTCAGAACGAAAATAGTGGATTATACGTCAATGCACATTAACAAGTGTGCTACTGCGCACATAAACAGTCGTTTTGGTTCTAAAGTGTGAAGTTGGCGTCACTC